TGCTTCAGGCATATCGAAAAAAAAACAGGACATCATTTGAATGCTCGTCTAATGGACCTGAGACTGAAGAGATGCCGCGCTTTGTTGAAGCGGTAAGCGGGAAAAAAATATCGGGAAATTCTTATTTCGAATGAAAAAAAATTTACCGTGGAAGAGAGCTACAACAAACAAAATGATAAGGTGTACGCACACAGTAGTGAAGAAGCGAGCAACCGTATTCCGCGTGTCCAACGAGGTCATTTTCCATCCTCGCTCATGGTATGGTTGGGAGTTTCTTATTGGGGCTTAACAGAGGTACATTTTTGTGAGAAAGGTGTAAAAACGAATGCAGTTGTGTATCAAAATACAGTCCTGACGAACCTTATGGAACCTGTTTCTCATACCATGTTCAATAACAGGCACTGGGTATTCCAACAAGATTCGGCGTCAGCTCATAGAGCGAAGAGCACACAAGACTGGCTGGCGGCGCGTGAAATCGACTTCATCCGGCACGAAGACTGGCCCACCTCCAGTCCAGATTTGAATCCGTTAGATTACAAGATATGGCAACACTTGGAGGAAAAGGCGTGCTCAAAGCCTCATCCCAATTTGGAGTTACTTAAGACATCCTTGATTAAGGCAGCCGCCGATATTGACATGGACCTCGTTCGTGCTGCGATAGACGACTGGCCGCGCAGATTGAAGGCCTGTATTCAAAATCACGGAGGTCATTTCGAATAAACTTTAGTGTCATAAGAATCTATGTTTTGCTAAGTTCATTTTGGTATATAAATGGTTACATAATGAAGAAACTTGTTTCAATTATTTTATATTAAACATGTGACAGAATTTATGACCTGACTAGGTATTTTTAGACAGGTTGGTTGCAGTCCACATGGCTTATCGTAAGCTGGAAGATTATTACTAATTTGCATAATATACTAAATTAACTTAAGCTTTAATTATACTAAATTAACTAAGCCTAAGCGGTAAGGCTATGATAATTTACTTTAAAGGTAGGTTGTAAAATAACTAGAATACAACTTTTTTGACATAAGCCTTGTACGTCTGTTAGTGATCGTGTAACTTCTGAACGACTTGACCGATTGAGGTCTTATTCACACAATATATTCGGTTTATCGAGACAATGGTTCATACGAATGTGTATGCTTCGATCCGCGGTAGCTCTGTTTAAGTTACTAACAAATTTTGTATTTACGGACCAAAATGACGACTATTGAAAATATATGTTGATTTAGTGCCAAAAAAGAAAATCATAACCTGGATTTAAAAAAAAAGCGCTATGGTCGAGTTCTTAATAAACCTTACATTTACAAAATATCTTAAGAGAATTCGGCGTGAAAATAATTGCGTTACCTACTAAATAGGGCAGAACAACGTACTGCTGGACCATTTAGTGTGATACTCAAATCAATATTATGTTTTCTTTTAATTAGATGTGCAGCACAGTGTTGTATTTAAAGCTGTTGAAAAGAAAAGAAAGTAAAAACTGTTTAACTGGAAAAAATAATAAATTACAAAAGAAAATAAATGTGAAGTGAAGCCTACATAAGTCCCACCGTTGGGAAAATGTCACCGCTCATTTTTGAGAGAGTTTTAAAGCAGGGACTAGAAAGAATACACCGCCGCACGGACCGTGTATTGGCGTAAGAATATCTATTACCCCATATCGCCCCGTGGGTACCATAAGAGGTGACAGAATGAAACATGCGATGAGGCGAAACAGGAGATGGGCAGCAGCGTCTTCTTAATAACAACTAAAAATAGAAAAAACTGCAGTTTCCATCTCGCCTACCGTTGCTACTTCCATAGATATCTATGTTCAGTGGACTTTTAATAGGTTGTAACGATAACGGTAACAGGGCCAATTTTCAGTAAAATTTTTGAAAAAATATTTTTAGATCAACTGTTATATTTTCTAAATACAAATAAATTACTCCATAAGAATCTATTCGGTTTAACAAGAGTCGCGCAACGACTAATGCAGGAGCTTATGAAATATATTTTCAAAGCCTGGGTGAATTCACAAGATTTCTTAGGTATTTTTTGTGATTCCAAGGCTTTCGATAGTGTTAATCATGAGATATTAATCAGAAAACTACAACTTTATAGTTTCAAAAATTTGCACTTAGCCTTATTATATCATATTTAAATAACTGAACTGAATATTTCGTTATCAATGTTGAAGGTTCCTCCGGATCGGTAGTATTAATGGGCATTCCTCAGGGCTCGATTCTTGGCCCATTTCTATTCTTAATCTATATTAATGACTTACCTTACCTTGTAGGGGTCAATCACAAATTTGTTGATGATACCTCTTTAATTTTCAAACTCAAACGACAGTCAATTAATATTGACAATGTAAATAATGCTCTATCGAAATCAGTACGTTGAATAAACGCCAACAATTTACTCTTAAACGGAAATAATAATAGATGTATTCTATTTACAATACCTAATGTTAAACATTCCATTTATTGTGGATACCACCGTTTCTCTTAGTAATAGTACTGACACGAAGCTTCAATGGGGTCCCCATATATATAAATTAGCAGACAGACTTAGTTCTGCAGCATACGTTGTAAAAAAGATTAGAAGTCTCATCAATCTTCAAATAGCTAGATTAATTTATTTTAGTTACTTTCATAACATCCTGTCTTATGGAATTTTGCTATGGAGTAATACGACTGACATTAAAGCCATATTACTTTTGTAAATGAGAGCCGTACGGGCGATTTATAACTTAAATTCTAAAACATGAATAAGGCTTTATATTTCTCTTATTAAAGGTGGCTGTTTCTGTGTTACTTTGGTATTAACTTTATAACTTTGTCCTCGACAAAGGGAGCGTTAAAATGGCTGTAAAGATCCGACAAAAAACGCGCCATTGTCGTAGCAATTTTCAAAGGTTATTATTGTAATGTTTCTCAAGTATAATTTAATTTGTAAACTCCATTTAAAACAATTCTGTTGGTAGGTTTAGTTGAAATTAAATAATATAATTTAACATAATTGAATTATGTTTTTAGGTAGGTTTAGTTAAAATTAAATAATGCAATTTAATTTATACTTTAACAAGAAACCTCCTTGCATCTTTTTCATCAGTCACAATCATGGATATACTTTCTCCTAGTTGGCCTTCTAAATTATTTATCTTGAAGTCATGCAGTGGTATGCTTGGGATCGGATTTAATTATATTAATTACAGGATTCCAAGCAGATGGTAGCTCCTCTATTGAATCCTGATCTTCTCCATTGAAATAAGGATGTTATTGTGATTCCTCTAAACAGTGTGACTAATGTTTCCGCCATTTTGCGTATCTGTGATGCCGACCGTCGGCAAGCGCACAGACAGGGATATTATAAGCATATGTTTTTTTTAAAGTTGGATTTCCTCGATTTTTTTAAAGGAATGCTGTACGCTTACAATTAAAATATTGGTTTTAATTACCTATTTTGTATATATCTTTACATATTTAGCATATTGGTAGTTATTTGCCATAGAAACATTACTACTTAATATGGGGTACAGAAAATTTTATTGTATTTCTTGATAATTTGTATAAAATAAAACAATAATTAAACTGAAACTAATTTTAATTAACACATTACATATCTAAGTTTACAATACAAACCAAAATTAACAAGGTCCTATACATTTTTTTCACACAACACATGTTTACAAAGTTGACACAAAAAATACTTCCACTTAAAGTAAACAAAAAAGGGTCTCACATTTCTTGTTATCTAAAATGACCCTGAGCGAATGGGACAAAGACCTTTTGTTTGCAGCAACTTAAGCTTATAAGCTACAAATATAAATAAAAGAATCATGTTACATTCAATATAAATTTGAGTATGAGTGGAACAAAGATGGTATGTAATTTGACACCAAAATTAGTACCTCTAAAAACATGTCTATTTTGGATAATATCTACTTACAAATGGAAAAGAAATTATTGTTTCAAGATATACATTAAATTTAGTAATCAATTAAACAAAAAAAACAAGTTGTTTCTAAGAAATATTTCAAACATCAAGCTCATGAAAGTAGTAAATATCTAAACATTTTAGCCTCATACATGCTAGCAAAGTGTGGATACGACTTGTCTTCAACAAGATAATGACTAGGTGATTTTTGTAACCCTCATTATTTTGAAACATTATAGTAAACATAACGGGTCTAATAATGACAATCACTTGGGATACTACTTAATATGACATAATTTTTAAATCATGCTTTGTTCACGAATCACAGCAAGAGGTAAAATGAACCGGCGGCTTGTAGATTGAAGGTGAAGGTTTAGGCAGCATGTTGATACCCAAGCATGGTTGGTCATAATTTACCATTGTTCGATATGTACAAATATGTACAATATACACATAATATATGTATATATATGTACATGGCTACCGATCATGGACATATATATACATATGTTACAAAATGCCAAGGAAACGTACTGAAAATTAGGTTGAGCAACCCCCCCCCCCCTTCATTGCGTCCCTAATTTTCGTACGATCCCTTATCAGTATAATGACGTTTGCAATTTGAATGAATGACACGGACCTAGGTTCCAACAATTTTATGATGAGCCAAAATTTCAAAAGACAAACATACATATTATAACTCGTTAGAAACAAATTTATCACAAAAACATAACCCTCTATCTGAGGCACTACATACATACATACGCACATACATACATACGCACATACATACATACATATACAAACTATAGTATATAAATGTGCAGCTTTTTGTTTTCCAAATTTCCCATTACGATTTGGATGGTAACACCTACCTACTTTAACCTTCCCATTAAAATAGCGGCATACCCTTTTTACTGAAAAGGAGGCATTCCATCTTAGTCCTCAGGGGTGACGATGTATCCACTTACCATCAGGTGGACTGTGTGCTCAAGTACAAGTGTTTTTCAGATAGACCTTCAATACTAGTGCCTAAATACCTTGTGTGTAAGACAGTGTTTTTGTGTAGTTTACTGTGAAGTGTGATATGACTCAAAGCAACCAAACACACACAGGGGCACGTTGCAGGCTTTGCAAAAGCTTGATGTTCGCTTTTTGCAAACTGAACAACTACGCCTCTGGTGCTCGTTCCGTGTTGTTCCCGGGAGCAGATCGTATTGCCCCGGAAAATGCCAGGTGTTCGGCAGTGCACGGGTAGGTGCTGGTGGTGTGTGTGCTGCCAACAATTCCCTCACCAAAGTTTGGCGAAAATTTCGGTGAGAAATTGAGCGGTGTGCCTTGTGGAGTATGTAGGCATTTAGAACACTAGCATTCAAGAGCTTCCTGAAAAACTTTTTGTACCAGATTTTGTTCCGCCTTCTTTCAATGGGGTACATGGCGAGCATCTGGTCTTTGCGATCAACCCCCCCCATACAGACATTATAGTCTGGTATGACGGTGGGCTTGTGTGTATCACCGCACATCGCGGTTGCTAGCCCATGGTATGTCGAGACAAATGCCACACGGTTTTTGTCCCGGTATACGATGAGGTCCACATCCCCCGAAGTGCAACCGTTCACCTGACCTATCGCCATGTCTTTTTTCGTAAGATTCGTCAGCTCAATGGGAACAAAGTGACGATTCGTTCGTAAGGTCCCCACGCAGTCAAACCCCCGAACTTTCAATTCTCGCGCAAGCGCGGGAGAATTGTAGAAATTATCCATCCAAATCGTGTGGCCCTTATGCTCAAGACCATTTAAAAGTCTGAGCACAAGAGCTGGCACTTTCCCAGAAACTGGACTGTCCTCTTGTGGGTCTGAGGAGGTATCATGGCCTGCGTGGACTTCAAAGCGTCACAAGTAACCAGTCTGGGACTCACACACCTCGTATGTTTTAATTCCTACTGTAGCTGCTTTGTTGCGGATGAATTGGTTAATATCTAACCAACCCTTCCACATGGTCAGACTTTCATCCACAGACACGTTTTGACCCAAAACATATAATTGTTGGAATTTGTTGTTAAGGTGATCCAAAATTGGCTGCACCTTAAACAACTTGGCCTGAGCCCGTGTCATCAGTTCAGGATCGCAACCGTCATTATCCTGAAAGTGGAGACATTTGCTCAACAGCACGAAGCGGTCATACGTCATCGCCGCAGTGAACCCGGGGGTACTGAAAATGTCCAGCGTGCTGTTCCAGTACTCCTCGAGACGTGATTTCACCACAATCCCGGTAGCGAGGATTATAGCGAAATACACGTGCAATTCACTTACGTCGGTGTCTTTCCATTTGGTGATGCGGCTGCTCGGACAGAGCGAACCGTCCACCAGCATGACCGTTGCAAGCTGTTGTGCATATCGATTCGTCTCCATGGCAATGTGTTCCATTATATCGCGATCCCATATGGCAGTAAATGCGTCATATGGGCTCGCATATGGAACCGTGGGCCCACAGTTTATCTGGGAGAACGGTTCCCTCCTCAGCTCAGGAGGAGTTTGAGGTTGCGGGAACCCCCTCCATTTAAAATCAAATTTATTTCCTGGCTCCGACATGGGACAGGATGGGGACGAGGGAGTATGGGTAGGTAAGGAAGGCGGAACAGAATAATCAGGAACATGGGATGTGGAAGGAATGGGACCGGAAGAGTTAGGGACAGGTGGGTGATCATTGGATGTCGGAGGCCAGGAAAAAGAAATAAATGCGTCTACTTCCCCACCTTCACCCTCATCCTCCGATGCCGCGAACATTTGTACCACCCTGGGGACTATGGTGGATTGGAGTCCAATTTCTTCTTCGCCATCTTCTTCGGAGTCCTCGTCGCTGCCTGTAAAATATAAGATAAAATAACCTCATTGGCCGACTGTAATAATTTACGTTTTTTTTAAAATAATCTGTTACATAAGTAGTAACTTAATACAGTCAATTATTCTAAAAATAATTGACTGTATTAAGTTACTACTTATGTAACAGAATCAGTAACATGAGAGCTGATGTTTATAGAACACAGTACGGGTTTTATTTGTATTTTTATTAGCAGCTAAAGCAAAACTATTTTCCCTTACCATAATTAAGGGCGTTGGATATTTCAATATCCCTTAGACGCGACGAAGATGACGAGGAAGTAATTCTAAAAGAAGAAAATAAATTATTAAGAATCAAAATATTAAGTAGACACTTCTGCACATAGAATATATATTTATTAATAGGCACTCACAGACGCCGTTTAGCCCCCATGTCATTGTGGTCCGATCTGAAAAAATAATGTTGTTTTTTGATTTCTATCGTAATAGTTATATTCGAACAGTTAACAGTTCAAAGTCAAATACTATCAATATTTAATAAAGCAATAAAGGAAAAACTTACGCATTTCGCTTTCGGGACGTTGGAGTCCGATTAGGTGTGGAGGTTCCACTCCCTCCAACTTCAACGTGTCTGTAAAACATAAATAGTGTTAAAAATACGTTATTTTATGACCAGTTACGAAAAGTTTAGCTTCAAAATATGAATATAAGTAAAAACTTACAAAGCAGGTGAAGGTACTGAGCAAAGCTCCATATCAACTACTGCTGGTTGGGCCGCTGCAGCTCGGTCCTCCTGAGGGCTCAGCGGCTGGGTCGGGTGGTTGCCGGTGAGGAGGTCCATGGACGACCACAACGACACCGGCACGGGACTAAAAAGAAAGTTAAATTCAATGCCCTGCACGTGAATCGAGTAACAAAACCAACTTCGAAGTGCTTACCCTCGCCTTGCGGCAGGCAGTACTCGAGGTCGCCGCTGAGTCAGCGGCCGCTCTAGAGGCCTCCCCACCGGCAACTCCCCCACCATGCCACAGTAAACTCTAAAATATTAATGCAGAATATTAATGTTGCTAAAAAAAAACGAAGAAACTTGTTAGTTGTTAAATTTGTTATTACGGATCAACAGCAGAAGGCCTTTCGGTGTGGCCAGCACCGCTAGTGGGCCCACCACGCGTCCGCGCACCACCAGTGTGCGCATGCGCCCCTTCACCACCAGTGTGCGCATGCGCCCCTTCACCACCAGTGTGCGCATGCGCCCCTTCACCACCAGTGTGCGCATGCGCCCCTTCACCACCAGCGTACGCACCACGCCCACGCCCACGGCCACGAGCACGACCACGTCCACCTCTTTAAAGAAAAAAGCAAAAACAAAAAGCATGCAAACCAAAGAGAAAATAAACACAAAAATGCAAGAGATACGCGAGACATGAATGCAAAAGGTGCCCTTAGAGCTAATTTAGTAATGTCCATGCGTAACTTTTTTAACTTACTATAAGACGTCTAGAAAATATGTAAATATTATTTTTGGAGAAATTTTTTGAAAAAAAAAATTGGTTGTCAAAGTTAAAAATAAAATTATTTATTTTTAAATTTATCATCGTGCAACAAACACTTTTTGTCCCAAACAATTTTGGGCTTGGACGCTCTTCAAATGCCTTTATCTCGGCCCAGGTTCGTCTAAGTCCAAAATTGTTCAGGAAAAAATTGTTTGTTTGGGTGCCCCCCCGACACGACGCAAACGAAGAAAAAAGAAAAAAGAAACAAAAATGCTGTATTTTTATCTTGGTACCTACTTGGTACTTCAAATACCTAAATATCTTTGCTCAGGTTCATCCAAGCCCAAAACTTTTTACGACAAAAAGTGTTAGTATATGCGCCCTCTACATGATGCAAACATAAAAAATAAAAAATTACAAAAATTCTGCTAAGTTTTTTCGCTCCCATATTTTATATTTATTTATTTTATTTATTTAATATTCTTTATTGCACACCATACAAAGCATACAGAAATGACATACTACAAAAAAGTATGCAACTTCCACTATATCTCCACAGTAACTAAATGTTTATGCAATTAAAAGTGATGTAACATTGCATGCAAAATATTTAAAAATAACTTCAAACAGAAAATACAAAAGCGTATCTATAATTTCTAGCATGCCCGACATGCCGCCGTTATGACGTCATCAACTGCCAAAACCCTGTCTGTGCCCCTGCCGACTGACGGTAAAGAAATAACCTTCACGTATTTAGACCCAAAATTAAAGTTTTCAAAGCTAAATACACGTTTACCATTGTCATCCATTGCAAATTAATTACATTAGTAGCTTAAATTCTCCAAAACATTACGGTTTCATTCACTTTTTAGACCAAATATTGCAGAAATAAAAGTACGTTCATAGTTCGTTAGACGGCTATGTCGTTGGTTTGGCCTGGTTTTTACAATTAAATTAGCAAAATTATATGTTTCCCAGTAATAAAAATGTGAAAGTACTTACCTTTCCATGGTTTCTCCTTCAAATCACAACAAATTTGATTCAAGAAAACTTATCAAAGGCGTGACAAAACCGGAGTCGGTTGGTTTGACAGCGTCCAATTTGAAGTGCCGATATTTTTTTTTTTACGGAGCAAAGAGTAACAGTAAAGCAGTTTGACACTGAGTATATATTATTAGTCTATGATTTCAAGTGTCGCACCTAAAAAACGCATCGTAGTTCCGTCGTAAAGAGCGCGAAAACATAAACAGGAAACGATGCCGACTGCTGGTCGGCTCACAGACGCGCAAATAATTTGACGTGCCGACTGCTGGTCGACGCACAGACAAGGGGAGGTCATAATCGTTCGAGATAAGGTTTTTTTCAGTAGTATATAGACTGCTTCTTTAATATAAAAATAATTATATGAACAAAAAATTTAATTTTTGTTCATATTTTGTTTTTTTTTTAATAAAAATTTCACCGACGCATGCTTGGAAAAATGCAGAAAGAACTTTATGGGTATAATAAAAAGGTTTCGCAAAGAAACTCAGAACTATCGTTTTATATTATGTACTCAGTATTAAATAAAGCACTTTCAATCAGATCTTAAGGCGGAGAAACAGGTTTCTTTTGAAATTACATCTCTTTGAGGGTTACTGAAGTTTACCGACGTATTTGATAAAGTAGGAGTATCGTATCGTACTTAATAAAGTAGTAAAAAATATGTTACATTTTTTTTAGTAATGCGTCAAAGGAGCACACGGTCGACCTGATGGTACGTAGACGTTGTTACCGATAGATATCTACATCTATGACTTTATTAAGAAATATTTTGATTCCTCACTCATGCAGATTTCCTCAAGATGTTTTCTTTACGCCGAGCATGCAGTAAATCAGCACTTTAATTTTGTAGCGGTTATAAATTATTATTAATAAATAATAATTTTCTGGCGGTCCACCATTGTGCGATTTAGAAGATGTTTTCTTCCTCGCACGACTTCCTTGTGGAATCGATTACCATCAGCGATTTTTCCGGACCGATACAACTTAGGGACCTTTAAGAAAAGAGCATACTCCTTTTTAAAAGGCCGGCAACGCATCTGCAATTCCCCTGGTGTTGCAGTTGTTCATGGGCGGCGGTAGTCACTTACCATCAGGTGAGCCGCATGCACATTCGCCCCCTCTCCTATAAAAAAAAATTAAGAAATATTTTGATTCCTCACCCATGCAGGTTTCCTCAAGATGTTTTCTTTACGCCGAGCACGCAGTAAATCAGCACTTAAAACAAGTAAATATTTCATTGGTGCCCAAATCCGAGTTGCTGCGACCGCTTAGCTCCTTAACTACCACGGTGGTGGAGGAAAACATTGTGAGGAAACCTGTATGTGTGAGAAACACAATGTTTCGTGGACATGTGACGCCTGCGAACGCAAACTGGATTGGAGCAGC